CCTCCATTATTCCAATGGAGGTAGGCATTTAAAAGGAACATGGTCCCTTTAAATGTGATGGCCAGAATTCCCTTTGGAGTTCAATCGCATTTCTTCCCTCCCCTCTCCCGGAGCGGCCTCACCTGGCAACCCTAGTGAACACGCAGTTGCACAGGTCTGCGTTGTTAGTAAGGAATACAGTAACACAGCTTTTCCAACATACTGGCAGATCTTCATGCTTCCCTACCCCAAACAGACCCTTACCAGGTTAGCAGGGCATGCAAGCAAGGCTTCCCAGAAAGGGTGGGATTGCTCCTCTGATTTATGAGCCCTTCCCTCTATCTATAAAACACCTGGTGCAGGCATTTCTGTTGTCAGAAGATGGAAGTCAGCACACACCCACGCCGAGCTCCTCCACTGTTTCTTTTGGCCCTGGCCTGTTCTGAAGTCCGGAACACCAGAGGGATGAGATTCTCTGGTTCCAACTTTCACAAGCTAACCATTTTTTTTTATTTTTGCCTTTGCTGGTTCATTCCCTCATCGTCGCCCTTCCTCATATCCAGCTGAGCTAGTGGGAAGCAACCGTGCCCTTCACACCTCAGCCTTTTACATCACACGTTGCAATTCTACCCGTGCATCTCAGATGTTCTAAGTATGCGCCTAAAAACAGAGAGTGAGAATGTGACAAACATATGTTTGCAAACAAGTTAGAGGATCATAGTTGGCTGCAGCTCCCTGTAGAGTACATACTCAGTGGCAAGCCCGGGATGGCCTCCTTATGATGTGTGAAATGGCTTGTGGACGAACAAGAAGACTCAAGGACGAGCTCTGACTGACGGTTACGCTGCACCTTTATTTGTGCAAGTGAAGTCTTTGGGAAAATTCCCCAGTTTTTTTGTCATATGACATTCTATTTATCATGTGTGTGTGGGGAAACATTCATAAAGGATCTATGTGGGTTAGGGAGAAAACAGGTAAAACTTGTATAGTTTAAAATGCTGTATATCATCAACAAAGCCTAAGATTTATTTATTCGTATTTATTTGTTTCTTTAAATCTTATTTTTAAGTATATCCAAATTGTGAGAAGTTCCATGAGTCAGCACTTAGCCTTTGAAAGATGGTACACTGGCAGCTTTTATTGTATTCGTGGCTTTTGCATTGTTTACTCTTATACAGGTAGAGCGCAGGTGGAAGAAAAGAGGGAATATCTGGGGCAGCCAATCCCCCCCCCCCACAGCCCTGAGATGGAGAGAGAGGTCCTGCACCCGACATGCTTCAGCCTATGTGTGTGTGTGAAGCACTATCAAGCCACACCCAAAGAGTGATGAACACATGGAATTCACTGCCACAGGAGGTGGTGGCAGCTACAAGCATGGACGGCTTCAAGAGGGAATTGGATAAACATATAGAGCAGAGCTCCATCAGTGGCTATGAGCCACATGGTAGAGATAGGACCTCTTGGTCTGGGGCAAGTGATGCTCTGTCTTCTTGGTGCTTGGGGGGGCAGTGGGAGGGCTTCTAGTGTCCCAGCCCCACTGCTGGCACCTGGTATTTTTGGCCACTGTGTGACAGAGTGTTGGACTGGATGGGCCATTGGCCTGATCCAACATTGACTTCTCTTATGTTCTTATCTTCTTATGTTCTTAACTGCTGAGCTACGGGGTCCTTGGCAGAAATCTCGTGAGGGAGCCACCCACCCACCCCTTCTAGCTCGTAGTGCCTCTGCAAGGTCTTGGGGAGAGGCCAGTAGCAGTCCTGTTGTGTGAGATTCTTTTAGCTGTAGTTACCAGGGATTGAGCCTTCCGCACACACACAGCCCACAGGCTTTCTCAGGAACGGGGGAAGCTTCTGAATCCAGCTGGCTTGCCAAAGGTTGGAGCTTTTTCGGTGTCTGATGTCAGGGCCTTGAAAGCTGCGTGCCAAGCAGAAATTCAGCAAGGTGAAGTCAAGCTAGCGACCGGCACACTTTGAAGTTCGCCGGGTGGAGTTCGTCTGGGGTGCCCAAGATCCAAAGTCCTCAGTTCCTTCTTGCTGAAGTCCTGGTTTGCAGCTGTGCTGGAGAGGCCAAAACCAGAGCCAAAACCGCTTCATCATCTTCCCCTGTGGTTGTATATTCACTCCCCTCCCACCCCTCCCCGGCATACCGGGCAAGGCCACCCGGACCTCAGTCCCACGGTCAGGCGTCGGCTGGGCCCATTCCTAGAGCCGGCAGGCGGAGCGTGTGCCTTTTGTGTGCTGACTGCCGAGGACTTGCTGAGCTCAGTTCCCCGACCTGGCTAGGCTTTGGGCCAGCACGTGCGTTGGGAAATCGGACTTTGCCACCCGCCACCTCTTCCCCCGGGGGTCAACAGAGTGCTTTGCAATACAACCCCGCAGGAGAAAAAAGAGTTAATCAAAACCTTTGGGAACACACTGTACTCTGCATTCCTCTCCATCAAGACCTGGAGGGGGTGGGGATTCTTCTAGAATGGCCTTCCCAGGTAGCTTATCTGAGAAGCTAGAAGACGCTAAAAGGCCCTCTCTGACCCTGGCTTTTTAGGAATTTGTTTAGCCAGCTCCAGCCTTCCTGGGGACATTTTCTTCTTGCCTTCTTGCTTTTGATCTCTCTCTCCCTCTCTCCTCTCTCTGACTGCTCAGCTTCTTTATATGATTGTGGGTTTGGGATTTTTTTTACCGCCTGCCACATGGAGGAAAAAGTGACAGATTAAAGGCAACAAATAATGTTACTGGGAAAGGCGGAAAAGGGAACTGAGAGAACCATTTGCACCCAACGTACTTCACATTTCTAGCTCTGAGATACGCAGAAGGCTTCACCGCACAATCGCAGGAAACCTCACAACCAGTGTTTCCTCTAAGCTGTGGAGTCTTGAGAGCAAAAATTCTACTTTGTGATCTACTGGCATTAAAGTTGTGACCAAGCAATTTTGCTGCAGCAGAAATTAGTTTGCTCTGGAGCCATCCTTCCTGAGCTAAGGAAAAAAATGTGTGAGCCGCAGGCTAAAAAACTGTGAGCTAGCTCACACTGACTCAGCTTAGAGGGAACACTGCTCACAACTACCCTGCGAGGTGGGCTCAGTATTATTTCCCCCAGTTTGCAAGTGGCGGGGGCTGAAAGAGAGAGGCTTGTCGAAGGCCACTGGGTGAGTTTGCAGCAGAGGTGAGATCAGAACCCAAGACAAATTCACAGCAGCAGCAGAAGAAGATTGGATTTATACCCCGCCCTTCACTAACAGTCTCAGAGCGGTTTACAGTCTCCTTTCCCTTCCCCTCCCCAAAACAGACACCCTATGTGGTAGGTGGGGCTGAGAGGGCTCTCTCCAGAACTGCCCTTGAGAGAACAGCTCTGAGAGAACTTGTGACTGACCCAAGGTCACACCAGCAGCTGTACGTGGAGGAGTGGGGAACCAAACCCCGTTCCCCCAGATTAAAGTCTGTGCTCCTAACCGCTACATCAAAACGTGATGGCAACTGTGCTACTCTAGTTCCTTAGTGGGGTACCATCCAAGCCAGTTCATGCAAGGATTTAATATGTTTCTTGTAAGAAGCAATCCAGTATTGTAGCATCTTTTCCTTCAAGGAGTTCTTGATTTCTCCAAGAAAAGGTGCTGGGGCACAGGCCTGCCTGGAAACCCTTAATCCCCTTTTCCAGATAGACTGGGTCAGATTGCCTTTCCTTGCTCTTGAAAAGGAAGGACTCTTTGAGAAATCAAGCTCTGGAGATGCCTCAGTTTTCCCATTTCGGTAGTAGCATTAATTTTCCACAGAACTGCTGCTGCCGCCGCTGAGCTTGACACTCATCTTGCAGTGATCTCCACTCCTGGAGAATCCAGAAACTGGTTTATCTGGTCTCGTTCTCACCTCTCCATTGCCTGAAACTTACCTATCTGTCTCCTATTTGGTGCCAGTCCCAAGTTTGCAAATTTGGATGTTAGGATTGCCATCTTCCATGGGGGGGGGCTGGCGATCCCACGGAATTACAACCGATCTCCAGGCTACATATATATCACCTGTGTATTTATGTATGTATGTCCTGAAAATATTTATTCCGCTTCTCCTGGAGACTGCCGATCCCACAGAATTACAATTATATCTCCAGGCTACATATATATCACTTGTGTATTTATGTATGTATGTCTTGAAAATATTTATTCCGCTTCTCCTGGAGAAAGTGCCTCCTTTGGAAGGTCGACTTTCTGGCATTATATACCCTACCAAGGTCCCTCCCCTCTCTGAACCCTGCTGTCCCAGGCTCCACCCACCAACCTCCAGGGATTTCTGAACCCAGAGTTGGCAACCCCTAAATCGTCACTGCAAACCAGGGTTTGGAATGAACAAGATATTGAAAGGGAAGCTGTAAGGCAGGGGTGTCGAACTCATTTGTTATGGGGGCCGGATCTGACATAAATGAGACCTTGTTGGGCCGGGCCACACGTGTGTCATAAAATGTAATGCCAGGTAGCGGAGATATAAAGGTTATAAAGGACACAAACACAAAGGGTTTTTTTTTAATTTGAAATAAAAAACATGCTTAAAAGATTGGCTCTGTAAGTGGCAAACCTACTTTAGATTTATCGACGTTCACCACAGAAATCTCATGCTCAGAGTTCTGAGTCTAGGACCCAGGTTAAAACATGAAATGGCCGAGTGATTAAGAGAGTCTGGCGAAGCAAGCTGTGACGTAGCAGCAGCAGAACTGGAAGCAGGAGATGGTCCATTCCACTGCGGGCCTGATGAAAGCCCTCCGGGGGCCTGATCTGGCCCCCAGGCCACATGTTTGACACCCCTGCTGTAAGGGGTGTGTGGGTGGGTGCATGCGTGCGTGTGCAAAGTCCCTCACTTGCTTCCAGCCTCTCGAACCATGATTTGGAAGGTGTTCTGAGCTGACGTAAGCTAATGTTACTGTTCACTCTCATGCTGCAGAGAGGGAAACGCAGAGGTTACCCCTCACCCTTTAATTTGACCGTCTGCACCTCAGAGCCAAATGCTGCAATTCTCACACTGGTTCTTCTTTCCTTGCAGAACTCCAAGGCGGTTCAGGGTCTGACGGGCCTCCGTAACCTCGGCAACACGGTGAGTCCCTTCTGGTCCTTTCTCTCCCTCCACATCACTTGAGCGTATACGAACTTCAAATTGGATTAATAATCAGCCAGCGAAGTCTGGGAGTTGTATTTCTGCAAGGGGGGGAGGCTAAACAGGATCTTCTGTATGCTCACGGGACTACAGTTCCCAGGATTCCTTGTGGGCAGCTGTGGCCATTAAAGGGGTACAAAATGAAGATGTGTTTGTAGCATAGATGACGTTTGCCAGTCAAGCCTTCTATCACGGGGCACTGGGGCTGGGTTCCAGGACGCTCCGGTTAGCCCGTCCGGCGAGACTGAGGCCATCTTGGAGAAACGGTTGATGTGACTAAAACGCCTCAGGTGCTCACTGGTCTGGTTCCTGGAGATCCAGGGTGACGGGGTGTGTGTATTATGGATGAATTTCCCCCAGGACTGGTCCAGCACCTCCTCATGCGCCAGCTGTGGCCAAGCCATGTCACCCCCTGAGGGTCATGGCCCAGTTAGCGCAGTGGCAAACTAACTGGGCCTTCCTCCGTCAGGTAGGTTTGTGGTGCATGCTGAGGAAATTTTGACAGGTCTTTCCTCAGCCTCTGGGTTCCTCTTTGTGACGACAGTTCTGGGAATCCCCTGCCTTTAGTACACATTAAGCGCTGAAGGGTGTTGTGAAACCACCTCAGGAAACTGTCGTGTGGGAACCTCCCATCTCGCCCACCACCACCCAGTTCCGTTTCAGCCCTCCCAGAAGAGAAGTCTGAGCTGACAGAGAGATTTTCAGATCCTCTCAGGTGTCAGAAGGCAGGCGAGACTTTTGCAGAGTCCCAGAGGAGCTCTTCACAAGTCCATGTGGCGGCTACATGGTATCAGGAGCTGCGCATGAGTGACATGCTCCACAGAGATGATGGGACGCAGTGCAGGGAGTTATCAGCAAAAATCTTGTGCCATGTTGTGGTGGCTTTCTCGGAAACTGCTCATCATTACCCTTGCAAAGTAGGGATGGTGTGCAAGACTCGTGGAGCACGGAATGCAAAAGCCGCTGTGCATCCATGCGCTTGAGGTGTTGGTGGTTTATCTTGCACTCGGCATCCCATATCCGTAGTGAAACCTGAAATTTTTCTCAACCCTGTGGCCATAGCTGTAGTGCAAACTTTAATCTGTTTAATACCAGTTGAATTCTGGTGGCATAAGGATGCCAACCTGTCAGGTATGTTTTAATTGTATTTATATGAATTTTTACGTAAACCGCCCTGAGCCCGCCTCAGCCGGGAGGGCGGGGTATAAATCGAATTAAATAATTAATAAATAAATAAATAATGTTACCTGACAGGTATGTTACCTGTCCATTCTTCATGTTGTCAACAAACCAGGTGTCTTGAGCCTGGCAAAGCAGAGAAGGAAGATAATTTTTTTTTTAATGTCAACCCCATATTGTGATCTGGGTTCTGCCTCTGGCCCCATACATTTGTTCAGTGTTTTAACATCACAAGTTGGTAAATTTACCTCAGAGTTTGTCATTTGGTGAGGTAATGGAGAATTCTCAGTTGGAGACCCAAGGTCGTCTCATGGCATTGCAGCTCCCAGAGAAGGGGCAACATGTTAATTTATTTATTTGCTTTATTTATACCCTACTTTTCTCTCCCACGGGGACCCAAAGAGGCTTATGCTATTCTCTTCATTTTATCCTCACAACCATCTGCAAGGTAGGTTAGTCTCTGAGAAAGTGTGACCGGCCCAAGCTTCCACGGCATAGTGTGGATTCAAACCTAGGTTTTCCAAATTGTCCTCTTACCTCATTCTCCTCTCCTCCATTTTACCCTCACAACCACCCTGCAAGGTAGGTTAGGCTGAGGATGTGTGACTGGCCCAAGGTCACCCAGCAAGCTTCCGTAGCGGAATGGGGATTCGAACCTAGGTTTTCCAGATCTACGTTTTCTCTTACATTTCCTCTCCCCCATTTTTTCCTCACAACAACCCTGTGAGGCAGGTCAGGCTGAGAGTGTATGACTGGCCTAAGGTCACCCAGCAAGCTTCCATGGAGCGAGGATTCAAGCCTGGATCTCCTGGTCCAAGCCTCTAACACTGGGGTGTCGAACATAAGGCCTGGGGGCCAGAACCAGCCCATCCAGGGTTCTTATGTGGCCCGCGAGCAACTGGTGCGATGGAGGGAAGAGAAGACTGCTTGGGGAGGGGAGTGGGTGGAGCCACTCCACTTGTGGCTTCGGCATGGTGGAACAACCTCATGTACAGCAGTCAAGCAGTGTGGGAGCATCTGCCTAGTGCTGCACCACTGGCTCCCCAACCTGACCATGTGGGTTTTCCTCTGCACACACACACCCCCCCACAGCCCATGGGGCCTTGCAGTGAGGATACACCAACTCAGAGCTTATAAGCTGCTGTCCTTTATACCAGGGGTGTCAAACATGTGGCCCGGGGGCCGGATCAGGCCCCCCAGAGGGCTTCTATCAGGCCCGCAGTGGAACTGGCCGGCTTCTGCTGCTTCTTCCAGTTCTGCTGCTGCTGCGTCATCGTAGGTTTGCAGCATACAGATTCACACCTGAACAGCATACTCAAGATTGCAGCAGCACAGACATTTTGATGTAATCATTCAGAGCAAGAGGTGTCAGTTATCAGACACTGTTAGATAAAGTAAATATTGCAAGAGTGCTGATGTTTTAAGCATGTTTTTATTTTAAGTTTTAAAAAAACCAACCCTTTGTGTTTGTGTCCTTTATAAAATTTATATCTCCGCTACCTGGCATTACATTTTATGACACACATGGCCCGGCCCAACAAGATCTCCTTTATGTCAGATCCGGCCCTCATAACAAATGAGTTTGACACCCCTGCTTTATGCAGCTTACATCTCTGGTACTTGGCATTAAGTTTTATGACACACATGACCCAGCTTGACAAAGTGACATTTATGTCAGATCCGGCCCTCATAACAAATGAGTTTGACACCCTTGCTTCTAACACTACCCTGCATTGGCTGGAATGATCAGGTCGGTCTATAGGAGGGTTAGAGCAGGTAGAGAAAGAGGTACTTTTCTCCCTTTCTCACAATATAAGAACTCGTGGGCACTCCATGAAATTGCTGAGTGGTCGGGTTAGAACGGATAAAAGGAAGTCCTTCTTCACCCAAAGAGTGATTCACACTTGGAATTCACTGCCACAGGAGGTGGTGGCGGCTACAAGCATGGGCGGCTTCAAAAGGGAATTAGATAAGCATATGGAGCAGAGGTCCATCAGTGGCTATTAGCCACAAGGTATAGAGAGGGACTCTGGGGCAAGTGATGCTCTGTCATCTTGGTGCTTGGGGGGGTCAACAGTGGGAGGGCTTCTAATGTCCTGGCCCCACTGGTGGACCTCCTGATGGCACTGGTATTTCTGGCCACTGTGTGACAGAGTGTTGGACTGGATGGGCCTTTGGCCTGATCCAACATTGGCATCTCTTATGTTCTTATGAGGGTTGGGAGGGGGAGCGGGTTTTGCCACGACACCAGTGTTTGGTTCACTCAGTTCATTACTCACCCATCCAGATGCCTCGCCTCCCACACGTTGCTTTCCTCCTCTTCGTCACAGGCCTCTCAAAAGTCGAGGCATGGGGCCGATTTCCCTTAAAAGGCCTTCGCAGCAACAGAGGCCCACTCATGCACTCTCAAAATGCTTCAGACATACCTGCCTCGAGCTGTGGTCCAGCCGGCTTTCAGCCCACCGGAGGGCGAACCGGTCAGCCTGCTCCCAGCAACAGGACGCAGGGGCAAGCCTCCGCTGCCACTAGCAAGATGAGCTGTCCTTTGGCTGAGACCAGCTGTGGAGGTGGACAAATCGAAAGGAATTGTGTCCAGGATTTTAAAAATAGCTTATCGCTCGGA